AATGCTATAGGAACAGAGTCAAGATGCAGTGGCTAATGAACTTGGTATACTGGGAATGGAGGGCAACATTGACAAAAGTAGACAGAGACTTATACTTACTTGCTGGCTAAGAAGATAATGAGGGAATCGCAAACTGAAAAACTAGACAAAGAGTTAGATGAATATATGCATGATGATAAAAAAATCTGGTCCAAAAGAGGAAAATGGACAAGGTCATATGAACTGGAAATGACCTATCAAAGACAGACTAGGAAACAGATTAGAAATGAACTATAAAGGTTGATATGAGATTACAGAAAAGGATCCTGAAGAAAAAGTAGCAGATGAAATTTCTTTCAGACCACAGGAACCAAAGAAAGATCTGATAGTCAGAGTAGTAAGAATAATTAGAAACAAAGAAGCAATTGAGCTTCTGATAGAAACTGCAGAAGTTGAACAAAATGGTAAACTTTTAATAACAAATGGTAGCAGAACACCAGGTGCAGTTTATCTGAATCTTCTGAAAAACACACCAAGCATCACTGATGGACAAATTAAGGAAATTTTCTATACTGAAAAACAAAAAGAATATTAAAATAAAAAAGCTGCTAAGAAAAGAATACAAGTCTTGGGGGAAAAGACAAAGCAGGCTATTAAAGGTCTTAATCTTCAAGAATATGATGATGCATTTTGAGAAAATTTTGCAAGTGACACAAATGAGGCATTGGCTTCTCTGGATGATTCCTAGAAAGGACATGGAGAAAGAAAGTTAGATTCAGAAGAAACCTTTGAGATTGATCATTTTCTTGATTTGAAGGTCTTTGAATCTTGAAAATCTTGAACATCTTGAACAACACTGTAATTAACTTTTTATTACACTTTGACTACCTCATTGGTTTACCTTTGCATGTTACCTGATAAAAAGCATTTGTTTCTGTTTTGAAGCACGCTGTATTTGGAAGATGAACCCAATGGAACTGTTATCTGTTGTTTTTGAGAAACCTGTCTTGTCTGGCTAAATAAAAAGCTTAAATGTGTTGAAGTTAAAAAAAAAAGATTTCCTGGGAAAGCTGGAAAGTAACTTAGCAATAGTCAAGCTTATTCCAGACGTGTTTTAGTAAGATCACTTTGGCAGTTGAGTGGAGACCTGTGGTGGGGAGACCAACTAGTGGGCATTTGTAGTAGTCTAGGCATGAGAGATGAGGAGGGCCTGCACTAGGAGGTGACAATGCCAGAGGAGACAAGGGAATGTATGCAAGAGGTATTACAAAAGTAAAATGTGGGGCAGCTAGGTGATGCAGTGGATAGAGCTCCAGCCTTGGAGTCAGGAGGACCTGACTTCAAATCCAGCCTCAGACACTTGACACTTACTAGCTGTGTGACCTTGGGCAAGTAATTTAACCCCACTGCCTAGTCAAAAACAAATAAACAAACAAAAAGTAAAATGGATAGGCACTGGCAACAGATTGGATGGATATAAGGGAGAAAGAGAGTGAAGAGTCAAAGATGATATCTAGGTTGTAAGTCTGGGGAACTGAGAGGATGGTGGTAGTTTCCAAATGGATGTGACCTAAATACAAAAGATCATATCATAAAAATAAAAATGATCAAAGAATGAAAGGAAGTACCTTACATAACCACATATGACTAGAGAGGAAATCCTTAACTAAACAAGGGATAAAGGTAATTATAAAAGATAAAATAGACAACTTTAATTATATAAAATATAAAAGCTTTTGCACAAATAAAATAAATAAGAAGCTATTAACTGGAAAAAACTTTTCACAGAAAATATGCAATAAATGCCAGATAACCTAGATATTTAGGAAATTGATAGAAATATTTTAAGAACAATTAAGAGAACTTTGAGAATCATTCTCAAAAGTGATCAAAGGATGTTAACAGTTTTCAAAGAATGCAAATTATCAGTTACCATATGAAAGGCTCCAATTAATAACAAAAATACACATTTAAACTGAAGTTTCATCCCATATCCATCGGGTGGCTTGGTAAATATTACAAAAGACAAAAATAGCTTAAATATTGAAGGAGCTGTGGGAACACTGGTACAATATTACACTGATGTTATGTTTTTAAAAATAAGAAACTATTAACTTTTATTATATGCAGCTTCTTAAAGTATATATTTAACAAACAGTAACAAAGTTGCCCAGCTTCCTGTGTCCTCTTCTAAATCTCCTTCTGAGGAAGTTAATGTTGAAACTGTAAACTGGCCAATTTGGTGTCAAATCTTAACACCATGGAAAGCAGCATGGAAGAGTAGAAAGAGAATCTAGGTTTAAATCCCCACTTACCAGCTAAGTGATCTTTGGCAAGCCACTTAACCTGCTCGGACCTCAGTTTTCTCATCTGTAAAATGGGGTAATGGACCAGATGGTCTCTTAGGTTTCTTCCAGTTCTGTATCTATGGCTCTTGGCAAACAGGAGTTAGACAACAGCAAAAGAATGAGCTTACATTGTCAGACATAGCCAATATATTTGTTGTGCTTATTTATGCTTTGTTGTTACAAGAAAAGGTTCTCTGATAAGTAGAAGGAATCACTGGGAAGTGACAGCAATTTGTGATGTGATTCTTAAACAAGGGACAGAGGTGACCACAAAAGATAAAACAGAAAATATCAACTGCATTAAAAGCTTTAGCAAGAAACAAGTAGTATAAAGGATATAGGAGCTAGTGTGGTACAGTAGTGAGTACTGGCTTTAAAGTTAGAGGACATGGGTTCAAATCCTGTTTCTGACCCTGGACCTCAATACCCTCATCTCTAAAATGAAGGAGTAGAGTACTTAACTAGATGGCCTCTGATGTCCCTTCCAGTTTCTACATCCAGGATCTGATAGTTTTAGCATTCACACTGAAACATAGCCTTCCCCTGGCAGAAAGGTACTGCACTAGATGGTTTCGAGGTCCCTTCCAGTTCTAAATCTATGATCCCATGTTATCAAAGACATATATGGTTTAAAAGAAAAAAGGCAGATGTCCAGCCATGCAGCAAGAATGAGATAAAACTAAACCTGTGTGTACCACTGGTATCTCAGCAATGTCAGAGAATTTAAATTAGGCCCCTAGCACATTAGCTGCAATACCTATGTTAAAGTTATGAGAAGACATATACAAGAGTCCCAAAAGATTCGCAGGCATGGATAGGATACACTGTTGAATACTTACATAAGTGAGATTATAAATCCACTTGTGTATTAGAATATATGTTAACTCACCTACACAAAGAGAGAAATTAGACGAGGAGCTTGAGAAAAATAAAAAATGTGAAACAGAAATAGTGATGGAGGACTTTAACTATCCACAGTCTCTACCAAAAGTAATGCAGATGATAAATTTGTGACTTGCTTTGATAGTGATTTCAACCCTCAAAAGGTAGAGGAGCAATAAAGGAAATGGAACCTAATTTTTCTCAATAGAAAAGAAGCAACTAAATTCCTGAAGCAGAAATGGCAGGAATCCTAGACTAACGGTCACTCCCTTGTAGAGTTTGTGTTAGAGGAAATGAAAGCCAAGCAGAACTTGGTGTGCACCTGAGTTTTTAGGAGAACAGAGCTCTCCTAAAGAGTTGAAAGAAAAAAAGTAAGTAAGATCCAATGACCTATTGCTTGGCAGAGTAAGTTAGCCCACAAAAAACGCAAAGCTCTAAGGAATAACATTCTGCAGACATAGCAAGAAATTTCCAATGAGGTGAAGAAAGAAAGCCTCAGTGTGGATGCATACGGAACTCATCGTTTCAGTTCTTAAAAGGGCAAATATAGAAGATGGAAGGAAGGACAACTAAGATTGAACATAAAAAAGGGCAGCCCTATAAATATTGTGTCAAGCCCTATAAATATTATGTCTAGGCAAAAGCCTAGAATGAGCTGAGACTACCAATGAATGCTAAGAATAAAAAAGAGTTATTTTAATTAGGCTGTGGGTAAGAGGAAGATCAAAGAAGAAACTGCAGCTAAGAGTGGATAGGCTGATGGTAACATAATTTTTTAAATTTATTTTTAATTTGAACTTAAACATTTCAATACACAAACAGAAAAAAAGGAAATGTGAACTTCTCTCACATTTTTAAAGAATGTTAAATTTAATGATTGAAACAAAACTGCCCTGCTTGTGTCCCTCTCTGAACTTTTTTCTGCTCTCTTCTGTATATTTTTTAAATGCTTGATTTTTTTTTTTGTGCATCACTATCACTACCCACCTTCATTCCTAAGTCTTCCTACAGCAGAAGCCTCCCAATGTCTCAAAGTGTCTCATTCTGTTCCACTACTCTATCACTTCTGCCAAGAAGTGAATATACTACATCATCAGAAGAGATGACTGTTAAATGACTGACTGATCTACTTACCTCTTATATTGTTTTTCTCTTCCAAGAAAGATCTATGGACTGGGAAGACTAGAAGAAAAATTAAGAGCATCAAGTAAACCCAAAATAAGTGAGGAGCCACTCAAGCAGCATCTAGCTACCCTCAATGAGTTCATGTCACCAGTTGTTACACACTAGCATGTTAAATGAATTGGTAGATCTGAAGATGGAGCCACCATCAATAATTTCTGAAAGAGCTTCAGGAAAAGGGAAAATACCCCCATAAAAAAAAAAAACTAAAAGGGTCTGCAGACTAATCTATAAATGAATAAACTTAACTTCCATTCCCACATTAGCAGTGGGTGGTTCATAAGCCAGAAAGAAAAGTTAAACTAATTAAAAATTGGTGTGGGGGGAAAAAAAAGAGCTGATGTGGCCTTATCAAAAATCTTTTCTTATTTGACAGGGTAGTAGAGCATAACAATGCTGTAGACTAAGGTGTTAAACCTGCTCTGGCCTGTAGCAACCAGATTAAAATGTAACTGGGAAATACTCAACTAAATAAATAAAACTACAACAATATACTGATAACATCACATTTTAAAACTAAGTCAATATGCTGGCACAAGGACCTTTATGTACAGATTAGAGCGCCCATTTCTATTTGAGTTTGACATCATTGCAGTAGACAGAGGCTACTTAGATTTCAGGAAAGCATTTTAATTCACTTCAATTCACAAATGTTTATTAAGCTCCTACTAGGTGTAAGGCACTTCTCTCCCAAATGAATTCTCTGATGTTGAAGAGCATATGCCCTCTGGGTGAAGGCTTTTCCACAGTCATTGCACTTAAAGGGTTTCTCTCCACTATGAGTAAGCAAATGTCGACTGAGGTGTGCCCTCTGGGTAAAGGCTTTCTCACATTCATTACATTTATAAGGTTTCTCTCCAGAATGAATTCTCTGATGTCGATTAAGGTCTGCCCACTTGGGGAAAATTTTCTCACATTCATTACATTTATAGGATTTCTCTCCAGAATGAATTCTTCGATGTATATTGAGCTGTGAAATCTGGCTATAAGCTTTTCCACATTCATTGCACTTAAAATGTTTCTCTCCATTATGAGTAAACTGATGTTGAGTTAGATGTGCTCTTTGGGTGAAAGCTTTCCCACATTCATTACATTTATAAGGTTTTTCTCCAGAATGAATTCTCTGATGTTGAGTAAGGCTTGCCCTTTGGGTGAAGGCTTTCCCACATTCATTACACTTATAAGATCTTTCTCCAGAATGAATTCTTAGGTGAATATTAAGCTGTGAAAATTGGCCATAGGCTTTCCCACATTCATTACACTTAAATGGTTTCTCTCCACTATGAGTAAACTGATGCTGGGTAAGATGTGCCCTCTTGGTGAAGGCTTTCCCACATTCATTACATTTATAAGGTTTCTCTCCAGAATGAATTCTGTGATGTTGAGTAAGGCTTGCCCTCTGAGTAAAGCCTTCCCACATTCGTTACATTTGTAAGGTTTCTCTCCAGAATGAGTTCTCAAATGTCGAGTAAGTTCTGCCCACATAGGAAACACTTTTGAACATTCATTACACTTATAGGATTTCTCTCCAGAATGAATTCTCCGGTGAACATTAAGTTGTGAAAGCTGGCTATAGGCTTTTCCACATTCATTACACTTAAAAGGTTTAGATCCACTGTGAGTAAACATATGTTGAGTAAGGTGTGCCCTCTGGGTAAAGGCTTTCCCACACTCATTACATTTAAAAGGTTTCTCTCCAGAATGAATCCTCTGATGTTGAGTAAGATTTGTCCTCTGGGTAAAGGCTTTCCCACAATCATTACAAATATAGGATCTCACACCAGAATGAATTCTTTGATGAATATTAAGCTGTGATATCTGGATGAAGGCTTTCCCACACTGATAACACTTAAAAGGTTTCTCACCATTATGAGTAAACAGATGTTGAGTAAGATGTGCCCTCTGGGTGAAGGCCTTCCCACATTCATTACATTTAAAAGGTTTCTCTCCAGAATGAATACGGTGATGTTGAGTAAGGCTTGCCCTTTGGGTAAACGCTTTCCCACATTCATTACATCTATAGGGTTTCTCTCCAGAATGATCTGTATGATGAAGGTTAAATTGTGAAATCTGGCTTAAGGCTTCCCCAAATTCATTATACATCAATCTATAATTCCCTGTGTAGATTTTTTGACATTTATTTAATTCTGAATTATCTTGGAAACTCTTTCCACGTGTGTCAAAGCTATAAAGACTAGGGATTGTCTCATTTATTCTATTTGTATCTCCAGCGCCTAACACAGTGCCTGGCACATAGTAGGCACCTAATAAATTATTGTTGATTGATTGATTTACTATAGGAACTTTCTGTTGTGTAATTAGAATTGAGCTCAGACTGAAGCATCCCCCAAATTCATTGTTTTCAGAGCCTCTCTCCATACTTAAAGTTTCTTCATGTGTGATTGTTACTTGTTTCAAATGTGTTTCCTGATGGCCCTGATGCCTCACTAGTGAACCATAACATTTAAAAGCTTCTTCCAATCTAGAGTCCCAGGAATTATTCCTCGTGGTTCTTTCCATTAGTGTCTCCTGAGATGATTCATCTACAGTAGTTCCCCACATTGGAATAAACTCCACTTCAGGTCCAATGTCCCAATCTGAAAGAAATTTGAAAATATAAACAGCCTCTTTGCTGAGAGAAATAAAATTATTGTCTCAAGAACTGAATAGCAAAATGCAGAAAATGCCTCATGAAACAACTTGTACTTCTACAATCCCTTTAATATCAACAAAGTGTTTTCGTCACCTGTGTGGTAATTATCACAATTATCATCACTGTAATTTTTATAAAGAGAAAAAGAAGCTCAAAGAAGTTAAATGACATACCCATAGGGAAATATCTAACAAGGAACAGAAATGGGATTTGAACACAGTTCATCTAAAACCAATTCCAAAGCTTTTTCCCACTAAATCAATGAGTGTATACTTTGTACTATGTACCTTATTAATAAAGTTTAGAAAACTAAAAAGACTATTTATAGGCAAAAATCTTTATTGACTGCTCTTATAACAGTTTTGCCATCTGAGAATAATCTGAAAAGGGAAAGGAATAAACAAGGGCTTTGATTGACTAACCAAAGGAGACAGAGGAAATATTAAGATGAACAAATACTAGTGAAGACAGAACTTTTTTTTATCACACATTTGGATTTTTCCAAAACACCTTACACAAAACTGTCAAGAGTAAACTTACTCTAACACTAATTTCTTAAAAATACCCAGTTAAGTGGAAAACAATTATACCTGTTTATCTCATAATTCAGGACATTCAAAACTTCTTTATCAAATATCTGCCACACTACATATTTTGGGGTGTAGAGGAGCACCGAGCAATTTCTTTAGCCTAAAAATCAAAGGCAAAGAAGCTTTCACCTTGCAATATGGGAAGTACATTTTAAAAAGTAGAACCAATTGGAAAGTGATGTTTCAGTACTAAATGATATTTCTTTCACCAGCAACAACAAACTTCTAAGGTTAACTAGTGTAAGGTCAGTTCTGACTTGGGCTGGTCTGGTGGCACAGGTTTGGAATTGGAATAAAATGAGACACTTGTATACCACCTAATAGTTAACAAAAGGAAACCTGCATAGCCATAGCATAGAGAAGATATTTAGCAAAGACCCTCAGTTCCACTGGACACAGTTTCACTGTCTGCATTGGTCATGCTGGCACAAGGGTAAAAGCTTGTGTTAAGCTTGAGGAAGAAGCTCCTTATAAGACGGCTTTTGTACTAAAACCATCAGGAAGCTACACCAACAATGCATGCCTCGCTTTGGTACTCTAAATAGGTAGGTCTTGAAGCAGTTTCAATACCTTTTAAGGAAAAACTAGCTTAGTCTATGTGATGTAGATGTTATTCCTATTACAATCACTTTTGAGGAGTCAATCTTACAAAGATTAAGCATTTTGGCTTCATATTCAGAAATAAGAATAAAATATATTGGGGGTTATTTATGTAATCATCTGAGATGTTACACTGGACTACAACTTATTGCTTTTCTGTAGTTTAAAAAAAAAGGCCTTCTATATATTGGATGATTTATGATTAATTTTAAAAGGCATCTGGTGCACCAGAGTCAGGAAGTCCTAGGTTCAAACCCTGCCTCCAACACATTCTGGTTATGTGACCATGGCCAAATCATTTCTGAACTCCAGGAAAATCCATAATACTATATGTTACAGTGGAGTTTCTGATCAGCATTTGCGAAACAAGTTTTGTAACAGGAATTTGCCACGTGGATGAAACCAAAGGTCAGGAGAAAAATCAAAAGATAACATAAACATGTTGGGGGAGGTAGCAGACTCCTCTTCAAAGGAAGCCTCCGTAGGTATACCACACAGATTTAGATTCAGATATAAGTTGGACCAGATGGCTTCTGAAGTCCCTTTCAATTGTAATAGTCTAGAAAGTAAGTACTTCTAAGTACTTTGTCCAAAGTCTAACAGCTCATAAGCAACAGAGCTGGGGTGTGAACTGTGAGGAAAATACCTTATATATTTATTGATACTGTTTGTCTCAGGATGCATAGGTTATGCTGATCCCAGGGACCCTCCAGGGTAGCTCTGTGGCAAGAATGCTTGGATTGGGACCTCATCAAAAAAGTTCATGTTTTGGCTCCACCCAAATCTTTATTGAATGTTTAGACTTACTTGCTGACATACATCTCAAGCAACTCATGCCCTTATCTGGAAACTGCCTTGTGCAACACCCTTGTTTGAACTTCATCGAATGTAAAACTTAGAAGTTTCAGGGAGTGAGCCACACCTTTTTCTGGTTCTCCCTTTTGCCAAATTGACTTAATAAAATTCTTTCTAAAAATCTTTTTAGATTTGGGGTTTGTTCTGGACCAATATAATACAAATCTCCTAAATCCAAGTCCAAAGCTCTTTTCCACCAAATCAAAGAAAAAGTAGGTTTTGTAAAATCTACCTCACAAAGAGTTTTGGAAGGTTAAAAATGATCTCACTTGACACCCCAAAAGACACTTGGCATTTAAGAAGATGCCAAAAAATTGAAGAAATAAATAAAGGCACTGCTAAACAAAGAAGATATTGAGGAAATAAAGATGAAAAAGTGTTGCCAAGACAGGAAAGAATGCAGGACTTCATCACCTCACACTTGGACCCTTCCAAAGTCTCTTGCATACAACTTGTTAGATTAAATTTATTTTAACACTAATTTCATCATATCCATGACCCTCCAATACCTTCACTCAACGTATAAAGAAAATCAGATATACTAAGGTAAAAGAGACATGGGCTATTACTCAGAAGGTATTATGTTCCTCTTCATGAAAAATTTCAAGCAAGGCTGGATTATAGGCAATGGTCATGTTATAGAGGGATTCTTGTTCAAGTATGGGTTGAACACTTTCAACTGTGACATTCCATGATTCTATTCAATACCATTTCATAAGGGAAAGAGACAGAAAATGAAGATTATGAAAACATCCCTGGATTTAAATAGGAGAAACCAGTGATGCCTTTTAAGAGCAGTTTCCAAAAATCAATGCATGCTGAAGCCAGGTTCTAGGGTATAAAGAAAGGAATATAACCAGAAACAAAGTTCTTAATCTCCCTAAGTCTCAGTTTGTCATTTATAAAATGAGACAGTTGGATGTGGCCTCTAAGATCTTAAAGTTTACAGCATTACAGCTGTAAATCTATGATCCTAGTTGAATGTTGAGATATTAGAGGCATTGGGCAGACATTACTTGTTGATAACGAAAATATATGTAACAGCTCAAACCAGCTGATCTGGAAAGCTTTAAGGTATGGTTGCTGGAGTAACATTTTGAAATGTTTTTTCCCTGACTGACCTTCTCAGTAAGTGTTGTTGTTCAGTTATTTGAGTCACATCCGCCTTTTCATGATCCCATTTGGAGTTTTCTTGTCAAAGATACTGGAGTGATTTGCCATTTCCTTCTCCAGTTCATTTTACAGATAAGAAAACTGAAATGAACAGGGTTAAGTGATTTGCCCAAGGTCACACAGCTATTAAGTGTATGAGGTTGGATTTGAACTCAGGAAAAGTCTTCCTGACTCCAGGCCCAGCACTCTATCCAATGCTACCCATCTGAGCAGGTGCTGGTTATTAATTCCCATTTGATAGTCTGTCATTCACTTACATGGGCAGATGCTTCTTGGAGCTTCATTCTTCAGCAACCATGGCACTTCTCCATGCTCCAATTGAGAGATCACATCTGGTTTGGAAATTGAAAGTCCTATGCATGGAAAAGAAAAGCAAAATGGACATTCACACCAAGGAAGGAGTCATTTCATAATATGATCCAAACCTTTTAATAGTTAGTAAAGAAAACTGTTAAGAAGGCCCAAAGGGTATTTCAAAGGATTTCAGAAGGATATTCAGTAATAGATTCTTAAAACTTATAGGGAAAATGGATGAGAGAATTGATTTCGGCTCATAAAGACACTTAAGTCCTTTATTTTTCCTCATAGACAAATACAAATCTCCTACTCCTGGATGTATCTGCACTATGATCCTGGCAGGAAATCCTGGACAAAGGGAAGCAACTGATTGGGAAAGGACATTACCAGAGATAGCAATGGGGAAGTGAAATTGCTCCATTTTTAGTTTTACATGGCAAAAATCTCTAACCATGGAAGAATGAATAGAAAAATCTTACAGACTGGCTCAAAACGAACTAAGAATTCCTGGCATCTATACAGTAATTCAAAATTAAGCTAATACTTCTGACATCACAAGAGTTTTGAATAATCAGTGAAGCAAAAACATCCTAAAGTGAAAACTGGGAGTCACAAGGGAAAGATTTACCAATAAAGACCAGGTTTCTATAGTTTTCCATCAGCACATCTCTATAGAGGTCCTGCTGACCAGGGTCCAATTGTGCCCATTCTTCCCAAGTGAAGTCTGGAGCCACATCCTGGAATGTGATGGTTTCCTGAAAGAGCAAACACATTTCTGCTTGTCTAGGATTTACTTGCACTTTGCTGCTTGTTCACCTCTATATCAATCATAACATGAAGCTGGCAGTGAAAGAAATTATCAGGGTGCATCAGAAATGCTTTGGACACTATTCAGGCTGCAGAGTTAGGTAAATAATCTGTTACTGCATATCTACCTCCTGTATATCACTTTATGTCATATTTAAGACACAAAAGGATAATGTAACATATCCTCTAATTATAAGGAGCTTGCATTCTTTGACAACTACTAAATCCTATTAGTCAATGGGAACCTGCCTCCCATAAACAGTCACTAAAGACTGGTAACGCTGAAAGATCTTCTGAGGGACACATGGCACATAAATAATCCTGTTAATTTGCTGAAGTTCACCTTTATTCCTTGTCTTGGGAGTAGTAGGAATAAAAGTTAAGTCATGCACTTCCTTCCTAAACTTGTAGATTTAAAAATCTTAATAACTGAAATCACTCTCAAAGGAATGAAAAATTCCCAATAGAAACACATTTGGGTTGTCTAGAAAATTCAATTTTGAAAGCATTTACTAAATACCTACTATGTGCTAGGAGGTGGTAATATATAAAAAGTAAACCATCTTTGCTGTCAAGGACCTTACAGTCAACTGGAGATAAATAACATGTACCAGATGAGTAAATGCAAAATAGATACAAATCAAATAAAGCCTTCTCTTAGGAACTGGCTCTAAGTTGAAACCTAAAGAGAGCTAAAGATTACAAGAAAGAGAGATAAGGAGTGAGAAGATTGCTGGTGGGGAGGACAGCTGCAAAGGTATGCAAGTGGGAAATGAAACTCAATGCAAAAGGAGTAGAAGGAACCCAATTTGGCTGGAACACAGAAGTTGTTTTTTAGATAAATTTTATTAATATCTTTTGTTTTTCCAAAATTCCCCCCCAGCATCCTCCCTTTCCCTTTCTGGAGAACCATCCCATATAACAAATAATATTTTTAAAGAAAAAAAAAGAGGAAAAATCATCAATATGATAAATACATCAAAAACATCTGAAAACAGCTACCATGGGCCACATCCATCAACCTTCCACCTCCACAAGGGAATGAGGGAAAGGAATTTTCACATGACTCTTCTTTGAAAGCATCCTTACTTTTTGTAATTCTGTAATGTTCACATTAGATTGTTTTGTGTTCTTTCCTTTTACACTGTTGTGGTTGTGGTATATATATTTTTACTTTGTTTACTTCATTCTGTACCAGAGCATGGAAATACTTCCACGTGTCTCTGTATTCATTAAATTCATCATTTCTAACTGCACAGTAATATTCCAATACAATCATATACCATAGCTTGTTTAGTTATCGCCCAGATGAGGGGCATCCTCTTTGTTCCCTCTTTTTTTCTGCTATCATAACAAGTGCTGCTATAAATATTTTGATATATACAAGGACTTTTTTATCAATCAACTTTTTGAGGTGTAAGCCTAGTAACAGAATTACTGAGTCAAAGGTATGATTTTAGTCCCTTTATTTGCATAATTCAAAACTGCTTTCCAAATGTCTCTACCAATTCACAACATTACCACTTCTATTTCCCCATAACCCCTCAGGAATGACTTTCTCATCTTTTGCCATCTTTGCCAATGTATAAGCAACCTTAGGGTTGCTTTGATGTGCATTTCTCTTCATTTAAGAACTCTTTGTTCATATCCATTGATTATTGTCTATTGGGAAATGAAGTATATACACATATAACATTTTACTGAGTTTTATAAAATATCCCTTTGTTAAAATGATTGGTATAACACAAAAACTAATTTGGTAGTATGATTTTTTTTTATGCTGGCAATACCCAGACACAAATACTGAATACTTCTGCAATTATTTAAGTTGGTCTTTATTTCTTTAAAGAAGCACACTATAATAAAATCTACATTAGTAATGTGTGTGTGATTTGTTAGATCAACGTCCAAGTATTTTATGTGTTTCGTAATTATTTTTAATGGTATTTCCCTTTCTATTAGTCTCTCTTGGGTTCTGTTGTTATTACACAATATTGTTGAGTTTTGTGTTTTGGTTTTTTTTTTGGTGGCCTGCAACCTTGATGAAGTTATTGTCTCAATTAGTTATCTTTGCTGATTTCCTAAGTAAGCCATCATATCATCATCAAATTGGGATAGAATCTTTACATTATTCATTTCTTCCTCTTGTCACATGGCTATTGCTAACATTTCTAGAATTACATCAAATAACAAATAGCAGGGAAAGCAGGCATTTTTGCTTTACTCCTGTCCTTACTGGGAAAGCTCTTAATGTATCCCCATTGTAAAATGCTTTTGCTTTTGGTCTTTGGTATATATTTCTTATAATGCCCTAAAAAAAGGTTCTTCTATACTTTGTAGGATTTTTAGCATAAATGAATATTGTACTTTGCCGAAGGCTTCTTCTACATCTATTGAGATAACTCTGTGGTTTTGGATGTTATTGTTTTTAATATAATTATGTTAATATTTTCCTAATGTTGAACTATCCTTGCATTCTGGTATAAATCCAACTTGATCATAATGAAAGATTTCTTAGTTGTATTGTTGTAGTCTGACAGGATCTTATTTAAAAATTTTTAAGTAATATTCATTAATGATATTGGCCTATAATTCACCTTCTATGATTTATATATTCCTGGCTTAGTTATCAGGATTAATTTGTCTGATAAAAGGACTCTATTAGAGTGTTTTCTTTCTCAATTTCTGAATATAATTTATGTAGTATTGGTACAAACTGTTCTTTAAGCGTTTAATAGAATGCTGTAAATCCCTCAGGACTACAGTTTTTTCCCTCCTTCAGTAGTTCCTTTATAGCTAGTTCTATTGCTTTTTCTGAAATTGGATTGTTCAAGATTTCTCTTTTGTTTTCTCAATTTTAGTGGCAGTCACTTAAAAATGCACAGAAAATTCTGATAATTAAAAAAAAATCTTCTGGTTTTAATTCCACCTTGCTCATCTGCTATTCTTGTTGATTTTATTTACTACCCTCTTTCTAATCATGTTTTTCCTTTTATCTGTTCGATTTACCCAAAACAGAAAGAGAAGCATGGAAAATCTCCTACCATGATAATATTACTATCTATTTCTCCTTGTATTTCAGCTAATTTTTCTTTTATAAACTCAGAGTCTAAGGAATTTGAAGTATATTAAGTTTAATAATTACATGGGTTCATTGAAAATAGTTTCAACAAAATGTAGTTTACTTGTTTATCTCTTATTTTGAATTTTTTTCCTTTATTTGATCCTGATTTTTTTGGATTCATCTAATGCAATGTAAATTTTATTTCAGTCCATTTTTATTCTGTGTCTGTTTTTCAGATGTGTTTCTTACAATCAGCTTATGGTGGGATTTTATTTTTTATCTAATCTGTCACTTTTTCCTTTTAATAGATTGTATAATCTATTCACATTTAAAGTTATATGGGGGCAGCTAGGTGGCACAGTGGATAGAGCTTCAGCCTTATAGTCAGAGGGACCCAAATTCAAATCTGACCTCAGACACTTGACACTTACTAGCTACATGACCCTGGGCAAGTGACTTAACCCCAACTGCCTCTCTAAAAAAAAGAAAAAGAAAAAAAGCTTTCTACATTTAAAGTTATAAAAGTAAGGTTTATAGTTTCCTCCATTTTATCTCTAATACTGTTTTTTTCCCTAATTATGATCCCTCAGCCCCCATCCCTCTTCCTCTGTAAAAACAATGCTTTGTCTCTAGTTAATTTTACTTAGTCTAGTTTAAGGCAACCCTATTCTCATAGACTCTCTCTGCCACCTTCAGGCCCTCTCTTTTCCATCTGTCACCCTTTTCCCTAGTTTTACTTAATTCCTTTTCTTCCTTTTATCTAGGAAGTTCTTTCCTTCTTTTTTCCCTCTCAGTTAAGTCAAGTAAAATCTCCTCTTCTTTGCTCTCATTAAAATTGTGTTGTGTTTTTTTTAAATTGTGTCCTTTTTAAAAAATTAATTTATTTTTAGTTTTCAACATTCACTTCCATAAGATTTTGAGTTCCATATTTTCACCCCATCTCTGTCCTCCCTCACCCTAACGGTGTGCACTCTGAATACACCTTCCCCCAATCTTCCCTCCCTTCTATCACACCCCCCACCCCTTCTTTTACCCCCTTCCCCTTCTATTTTCCTGTAGGGCAGGATAAATTTCTATACCCCACTGCCTATATATCTCATTTCCCAGTGGCATGTAAAAGCAATTTTTAACACTTTTTAAAAAACTTTTGAGTTCCAAATTCTCTCCCTTCCTCTCTTCCCACCCAACCTCATCAAGAAGGCAAGCAATTTGATATAGGTTATACATGTGTAGTCATGCAAAACACTTCCATAATAGTCATGTTGTAAAAGACTAACTATAATTCCCTCCATCGTATCTTGCTCTCCTGTTTATTCTATTCTCTTCTTTGACCCTGTCTCTCCTCAAAAGTGTTTGCTTTTAATTACTCCCTCCTCAAATCTGCCCTCCCTCCTATCACCCCCCTCCATTCCCTTTCCCCCTATTTTCCTTCAGGTTAAGATAGATTTCCATACCCAATTGAGTGTGTCTGTTATTCCCTCCTCAAGCTAAATCCAATGAAAGTAAGATTCATTCATTTCCTCTCACCTCTCCCCTCTTCCTCTCCACTGTAAAAGCTTTTTCTTGCCTCTTTTATGCAAGATAATTTACCCCATTATATCTCTTCCTTTCTCCTCCTCCCAGTACAATTCTCTCTCACCCCTTAATTTTTTTACATATCATCCCTTCATATTCAACTCACCCTGTGCCCTCTGTCTATATATATATATATATGCATATATAGAGATAGATATATAGATATATGTATATATGTATGTGCATATACGTATGTACATGTATATGCATGCATGTATCCATGGATGTATGCATGTATGTGTGTATATATGCATATATATGCATATGTGCATGCATGTATATGTATATGTGCATATATATATATATATATATTCCCTCCAACTACCCTAAACTGAGAAAGGTCTCATGAGTTACAAATATCATCTTTCCATGCAGGAATGTAAACAGTTCAACTTTAATAAGCGTCCTATGATTTCTCTTTCCTGTTTAACTTTTCATGCTTCTCTTGAGTCTTGTATTTGAAAGTCAAATTTTCTCTTCAGCTTTGGTCATTTCAACAAGAATGCCTGAAAGCCCTCTATTTCACTGAATATCCATTTTTACCCCTGAAAGATTATACTCAGTATAATCTGGGTAGGTGATTCTTGATTTTAATCCTAGCTCCTTTGACCTCTGGAATATCATATTCCAAGCCCTCCAGTCCCTTAATGTAGAAGCTGCTAAACCTTGTGCTATCCTGATTGTGTTTCCAAAATATCTGAATTGTTTCTTTCTGGCTGCTTGCAATATTTTCTCCTTGACCTGGAAACTCTGGAATTTGGCTATAATATTCCTAGGAGTTTTCCTTTTGGGCTCTCTTTCAAGAGGTGATTGGTGGATTCTTTCAATTTCTATTTTAACCTGTGGTTCAAGAATAACAGAGCATGTTTCCTTGATAATTTCTTGAAATATGATGTCTAGGTTCTTTTTTTATTGTTGTTCATGGCTTTCAAACAGTCCAATAATTTTTAAATGATCTTTCCTGGATCTATTTTCCAAGTCAGTTGTTTTTCCAATGAGACATTTTATATTGTCTTCTATTTTTTCATTATTTTGGTTTTGTTTTATAACTTCTTGATTTCTCAAAGAGTCACTAGCTTCCATTTGTTCCATTCTAATTTTTAAGGCATTATTTTCTGAAGAAAATAAGTTTTTACATATGTGAGCTTTTGGACCTCCTTTTCCATTTGGCCAATTCTGCTTTTTAAGGCATTCTTCTCCTCACTAGCTTTTTGGACTTCTTTTGGTATTTGGGTTAGGCTATTTTTTAAGGTGTTATTTTCTTCAGTATTTTTTTGGGCCTCCTTTAGCAAGCATTTGACTCATTTTTTCATGATTTTCTTGCATCAGTCTCATTTCTCTTTCCAATTTTTCCTCTACTTCACTTACTTGCTTTTCAAAATCCTTTCTGAGTTCTTCCATGGCCTGAGACCAATTCATATTTTTCTTGGAGACTTTGGATGTAGGAGCTTTGACTTTGTTGTCTTCTTATGGTTGTATGTTTTGATCTTGTTTGTCACCAAAGTAAGATTCTATAGTCTGAGGTTTTTTATGCTCTTTGCTCATGTTCCTAGCCAATTACTTGACTTTTTAACTCTTTGGTAAGGTAGGCCTCTGCTTCCAGTGTGGAGAGTGTACTGTCCCAAGCTTCAGCGGTTTTGTACAGCTTTTTTCAGAGATACTTCTAGGGACCTGCAAATTTTCAGTTCTTCCAACTTTATGATCAAAGGAGAGGTGTTTACTCCTTTCCTGGCCTGTGCTCTGGTCTATGAATGACCACAAGCACTCTTTTCTACCTTGGAACTGTGAGAAGGATTCACTTTGTACTGCTGCCATAAGCTCTACCATGCCAGCACCACCCTTGGCCCAGGACCTCCACCCAGGACTGTGACCCAGATCTAAGCATGGGCAAAGCAACAGAATCCTCTCTCAGCACCAACAAAGAGATCCCTGCAATCCCCCTCTAATCAGTCACTTGATACCCCTGCCATTTGTGAGCTAAGAGCTCTGGAAGCAGCTGCTGCCGCTGTGGCCACCTCCCTGGGGCTGTACTAGGGCTAGGGCTGCACCAGGGCCAGGGCTGCACCGCGCTCCTCTCACACATATCCAAAAAATCTTTCCCACCAACTTTCTGCATTGCCTTTGGTGTTTTGGGGCTGAGAAATCTGGAAACCTTTGATTCAGTCCCCTGAGGCCTGCTCTGGGTTTGCTGGGCCCTTGCCTTTGCCAGCATGGCCCATGCTGAACTGCACTCCTTTCCCAGCCCAGCCTAGCACAACAGACCCTTCCTGTTGCCCTTCCACGTTGTTTTGGGCTGCAAATTTGTTTCACTCTGTCTTTTTGTGGGTTCTGCTGCTCTAGAATTTGTTTAGTAATTTTTTTACAGGTATTTGGAGTGGTTTGGGGGACAGCTCAAGCAAGTCACTGCTTTTACTCCACCATCTTGGCTCTAATCCCCCCCTCCTCCCCACCCCATGTCCTTTTCTAGAAGAGATTTCTTGTTCTATTTGTTATTTCTCTTCCCTTTATGTCTACTCTAGACTTTTATTCTTTTATTCACATACTTTATATTTATTCTTTTTTAGGCTATGTATTCCTCATGGAATTAAAGCTTCTAAGGTACCCATTTTTAGTCCCTCTTCTGAACAGACTCTGTTATTGTCTTGTAGATCTTGCCCTCTCCCCTTTTATTTCTGTTGTGCCTCACTCTTAGAAGTATTAATTCCTACAAGAGATAGAGAAGATGAAAATACTTTCCCATGGTAGGAATTTTCCTGTCTCCCTAACACTATTACTCCCTGTCCTATTACTACTCCCTGACAACCTCATAACCTTTTTTCCCCATTTGCCATCAAATCTCCTCTCTGGGTCCATGCCCCCTCCACCCTTCTCAATGTCAGCTGTACTCAGGAAGTTTGATTCCCCTTTGCCTAAGACAAGATTCTGTCCATGGAGGCACAACACTCTCAGAAATAGTGGTCTCTTAGCATAAAATCCTGGCAGATTACACCCACTGTGAAGCCCTCATCTCCCATTATGGAACATCTCTCTCCTTCTATGGGGTGTTCTTCAGTGGGACCCCCACCCCAATCCAAGATCACCCCTTTTCCCTGTTTCAATCCTTACTCTTGCCACCTCACTCATTCTCATGTAAGTCCTCTTCTTCCTGAGAGACTATAGGAGTTACTTTCTATTTATGGTTTATGAGTGACTTAATTAGGGTTCATCACATTCCCCTCTATCTTATTTTTCTCCTCTCCCTTTTCCGGGCACCCTCTCATGTTTCAGTTTACTCCCATGAAAACTGATTCACCTGTAGGCAAGGCGTTGTAAGCACTGGTGCATGTTTTAGGCTTGCTTCCTCACTATTAGTTTTTCCATTTAAGCACCAGTTTGATCCATGTGCTTTAAGATTTACAAAACACTTTACATATGGAAACTCATTTAATCTGTACTCCAGTTCCGTAATTTCATAATTTAATAACTGTATCATATCTTTCCAATAGGCTAGTTATAAACAGCATCCCAAATATTTTTGGGCAGTTTTAAGCTTTAAAAGTTTAATAAATGGTAAACTTCTAAAACTTAAAACTGAACTAAGGTTTTCGGTACATTTCATATGTGTATTTTGTAGAGAGTGACCATTTGAGGAATGGAGGAAAAATCTTTTTATCACAATGCACTAAGACAAGAGCTGAGAAGTGAGTGGAAGATTGAAGGCATCAGTGCTGAGCTGAGGCCTCCTGAAGTAGGGGCTCTCAATATACTTTCCATTCAAGGAGAACTGAACTCAACTATGGGAGGGTCAGGATAAGTAGGTCAATTTATTTCTAACAGTTTGACATAGCTGTATAGTTAACCTGACATAGCCATGATTACTACACATAATACCGTTTTTCTAGTCTAAAAGATTAAAATCCTGGAGCTGGACCTCACCTTATCCTTTGACCCTTTCATTTGCCTTCTCAAAACACTTGAATCATTCTCCCCTGCTCCATTCAAACGGCCAGTATTCAATATTCTCTTCAAACCTAGCTTCTACCACTACTTAACATGAATCTTCTACTGTAGCCAGGACATTATATTCACAGTGGTTATTGCAAAGAGCATGTTCCTTATCTGGACATGTGACCTTTTTATTCTTTTCACTTAAAATCTATTTTCTCATTCTCTCTAATAACAAACTCCCCATTTTTTCAGTATTCATATCCTATATTCTAACCCACACTAATCTCTTCCATCTCTGATGGCAGACAGATAGATAGGTAGACAGATCTTGCATTCTGTATCATGAATTATGACACTTAATGCTTTGCATTTCTTTTTATTTTTTTTTCCATATGTTAGACTTGGCATTCAAATAAGATTATAATGCCCTTGGTTCCAAAGATTCTATTTTACATTTCTTTTGTTTCCTTCAGAATGATTGCCATACCAGTGAGCACATTTTTTAAATGTACCTATGGCTTTGTATCAGTGTAAGGAGTTCCCAGTTAGGAACTACCTACACCAATGCAGACCTGCACCTTATCTACAACTTTTAGTCTTAGAGAGTTTCCTAGAGCACCAAGAGGTTAAATGACTTGCCCCATTATCATAAAGCCATTTTGCATCAATGGCAGAACTTGAATCTGGATCTTGGCCTCCTAGGCCAAGCTACTATGTGAGCACCTAACAGACTAAAATGAATGACAGTTGGGCAAAGAAATAGGGAGTATTCCCTAGGGAGTCCACCATCCCTCAGAATAGGTCCAGTGTCTGGAGGGAAAACAACAGGAGTTCATATCTCTAGACAAGATTTTGTCAGGAAGAGAAGCCCAAGCAAAATAGAACAGAAAAGTGTCTGTACTGAGACTCAAGTTGGCATTACAGGAAAAGGAAAGAAGGACATTTTAACTCACCTGAAAGCTGGCTATTGGTAACACAACCGATATTCCCTCCTTCTCTGTGCTTCCCTCTTGGAAAAGGGGGGAATCTTGTGAACTCGGAACTAGGGAGAAGAAATAATGACAATAAAATCAGTGTCCAGGCTCTTACAAATTCAGAAAAAATGGCAATGCCACCTGGAGCCCTAATTTTATATCCCTATAGTGACAACACATTCCCAAGGAGAAAATTTAGATTCAAACATCAGACATACAGCCTGATTTAATCATTCTATGCCTAATCTAATGTGCCACCTAGAGTATAAAAGTCAATATTTCTGCTATAGTTTTCTCCCCATGTATGAGGAACTATCTCTAAGAATACAGAATAAATCAATTTGCTGACTTTCAGAAAATTACTTCCTGAGAAATCATAATATTTTCTGTCGTGTGTCCCTGAGCAACCCTTTCTTATCTGTAAAAGTAGGCTAATTTTATGTCTTATTCACCTCACAGGGCTTGTAAATGATAAAAAGCTTTCTAAATGAAAATGTTTAATGCTGAGCCCTAGCCATTACTCTCCCTCATAACCACCCATGTCAGTCATATTCTATCCAGGTACCTATACCACTCTACCTAACCTTTCCACTGTGCCCTCCAAAATCCTAATTTTGCTTTTAACGAATTGTCCCTCATATTAAACTTCTTCATGTCATGTTCCATCTACCTAGCCATGACAGAAATATAGCTTTCCTCAGAAGATTTTGCATCTCTGGTCATTCACATTAGTACTAGATGTACCTTTTCTCCTCCCCTCACCCCATTCCCTACGACTTCCAGGCACTCTCCCTACTATCCTCACTCAGTAACATCTTCTTTGAGATTTACTCTGTCTAGATAGCCCAAACCATCCTGTTAGCTACTACTTATTGGCCCCAAATTTTTTTTTAATTATTATTTTGGAGGCAATGGGGGTTAAGTGATTTGCCCAGGGTCACACAACTAGCTAGTTAACTGTCTGAAGCTGGATTTGAACTCAGGTCTTCCTGACTCCAGGGCCAGTGTTCTATCCACTGAACCACCTAGCTGCCCTATTCCAATTCTTTTTTTCTCTCAGAGTTCAGTACCTGGCACAAGGACTTCCTCTTATCTCCATTCTTTATGCTGAAGACTTCAATTTAGATTTGTTGATGTCCCCAGATACCCTTTCTCCCAAATTCATCCACCTCAACAACTCCCATAATCTACACTGTCACTCCAACTCAGCCACACATAGGTATAGTCCTACCCTTGATTTCATCATTATCCACAAGTATTCTACCTGTCCAGTCCATAACTCTGAAATTCTTCTTTTGGATCATAACTTTCTGTTTTTCCATCTCTGCTTGTGCCTCATATTATTCTCTAGCTTCCTAAACCTATTCTCTATCTTCACTACAACTCCTGTTACTCTATTTCTCCCTGATTTTATAGGCCATTATCCCTACTCTGGCCCCATATTCTTCCCCTCAAAATCTCGGCCAGTTAACCAGTTAGTTAATCAGTTCACTGTCTTTGATACTTAAATCTCATGCCCCAATGTCCTATTGCTATTGAGGCTTTTCCAAACTCCTGCTTTGGATTATCCACTCTATCCACTTTTTCAGCTCCTATTATGGTGCTTTTGTATGTCACTGGAAAAAGCCAAACAACCATCCTGATTAGGTCCAATAAAAATATATTATACAATTTCAACTGGACCTTCCCAATTGCAAAACAATCTTTTAACTCTTCCCTAATTTACTATCACAATCTCCAGGGGATATTCTAAACATTCTCTCTACTCTTCAATACACCCACACCAACCTGGGCCTTCCTTCTCAGCAGAGGATCTTGCCTTATCACTACAAGGTTAAGGCCAACTATCACTAGTTCTTTTCCTCCCCCACCTTCACACTTCAAATCACCTCAAAGCATACATCTCTTTTCCTCTCTTCCTTTGCTCTAGTCTTAAAGGATGAGATGGCTTGCCTTGCCAACAACTCCTCTATTATTAGTATCCTTGAATCTATCCTCTCCTTGAATTTGTCCCCTTGATAATACACTCTAATTTTCAACCTCTCTTTACCCAATGGATCCTTTCTTGCTTACTATAAACATGTCCAAATCTCCCGTACTATTATAAAATTCTCACTTCACCCTCTCCAGTTATTGTCCTATACCTCACCTCCCCTTCAAAGCTGTACTACTAGAAAAAGCTGTATAAACTCATTGCCCCCACTCATCCCACTTACTTCTAAATGCCTTATAATCTGGATTCCATCTTCACTACTTGATTGAAACCATTCTCTCCAAAGTCATTAATGAACTTTTTATTGCTAAATTCAATGCCCTCTTCACAGGTCTCTGCCTCCTTGTCTTCACCACAGCATTAGCACTGCTCGCCATTCCCTTTAGGGATACTGCTCTTTTATAGTTCTTATTTTACCTATCTAATCAATTTCTTCTCAATTTCTTTTGCAGTATCATCCTCCAAGTCTATCTAAGGTAGGTATGTGTACCACAGGGCTCTATCCAGGCACTCTCTTCTTCAATTCTCTCTCAGTGATCTCATCAGCTCCCATGAATTCAACTGCCATATCCATGCAGATGACTTCCATGTATACATATCTAACCCTCATCTATCTGCTGAGTTCCAGTCTCACATTTCCATCTGCCACCAAGATTTCTCCACTTGAATAGCCTATAGGCTCCTCAAAATTAATCCACATATTCAAAACTTAACTTTTCTTTTCCCCAAACTAACTGTTCCTACTAACTTTTCTACATCTATTGAGATAACACAATTCTTCAAATCACCTCGGTTTGCATATTAGGCATCATCCCTGACACCACAATCTCACTCACCTACCATATCCAGTCAATTTACAAGTTTTGTTGAGTCAACCTTCTCAACATCTCTCAAATCTGTCCCTTCTCTCCACAACAACTCTAATTCAGGACCATATCACTCATATGGATTACTGCAAGAGCCTGTTCATTGGTCCCCTGTATCTACTCTCTTTCTCCAGTCTAACCTCCATAAAGCTGCCAAACTGATATTCCTAAAGGGCAGATCTAACTATGTCATTCCTCTGAACAAGACACTTGAGTAATTCTTCAGCATATAAACTTCTGTTTAACATGTAAAGCCCTTCCTTCACTATCTGGCTGTAGCCTATCTTCCAGACTGATTACATATTACTCCCCCTCTTACACTCTACATTCCTACTAACCTGGCCTACTGGCTGTTTCCCCCATGTAAGATATTCCAGTTCCCACCTCTGTGCATTTATAAGGCAGTTCCCTTATCCCTGTGCCTGAAACATTCTGTGTCCTCACCTCTACCTCTTAGAATTCCTATAGCCATCCTATCTTCTCTCAAGGCTCAGCTCAAACACTGCTTCCTTCAAGTAGCCTTTCTTCTAGTTGTTATTATTATCCCTTCTCAGCCTTGAAATCACTCTGAATTTATTTTGTAGCTATTTATGTCTACTTATCTGTGAACATGTTGATTCCCCCAAGTAGAATGTGTATTCTTTGAGGATATGGATTGCCTCATTTTTGCATCTGTATTCCCAGCTCCTACTACTGGGCCAGGAACACAGCAAGAATATTCATCATTATTTACTGATTCATTGATATTCAAAGTAAAACTCTAGAGGTAACCCCTGTAAGAATTTACAGGGGTAGGTAGGTGGCTCAGTGGATAGAGCACTGGCCCTGAAGTCAGGAAGACCTGAGTTCAAATCCAGCCTCAGACCAAACACTTGACACCAGCTGTGTCACTTAACCCCAGTGACTGCCTAAAAAATTTTTTTAAAAATTTACAAAAGAGATGAATATTTAACTGTTTTCTCTGTCTTTCCACTCCCACAAAACCAGCCCATAAAGAATGTTCTCCCATTTTATAATCAGATACTATACAAATAGGTAGCACGAAGGCGGGGGAAGGATGGGGGAGAAGGGAAGGAAGGACAGACAAGGAACAGACCCAGCTGGAAAGCTGTAAGATAAGAGGACTTTGAGATTTAAAATGTTCTCATTCCCAGTCCCTAGATTCTAGGTAGTATCTGTCTTCTAGAGATCTCCCTTCACACCCTGAAGAGAGTTTGCTCTTTCCTTCTATCTTTCTTTAGTTCTTACCCTCTTCCTCAAGCATTTGGGTCAAATCCTCCACCAGTGTGACCACCTCCTCAATGTTCTCCGGATGCTGTGACTTCACCCAAATCCGGATCTCACTGGGCAAGATGGTCAGGAATTGCTCCAGCACCAGCAGCTCCAGGATCTGCTCCTTTGTGTGAATCTCTGGCCTCAGCCACTGAAGGCAGAGTTCCCAGAGCTGGTTCACAGCCTCACGGGGTCCAGCTTTCTCTGGGTATGGAAAACATCTGAAGTTCTGGCGAGAAGCCTCAGGGTTAAATTTTTCTCTTCCTAGGGTGGTTACCTGCTCTCTTGAATCATCCCTATCTTGTTCATGCATTGCCAGGATTCGGGGGTTCAAAGAGATGGTCATCATGTTATTCAGGGCCAGCCTCTCTCCACCTGGGACTGTCACCATGGACTTCAAATCCGCATTCCCAGAAGAGAACCAGTTCCCTTCAGCCTCAGACTGGATACCTGCATACATTCTTGAGGGGTGCTGTGGACAAAAATACACACATATATATGTATCATGGTTAACTGAAAGAACCAAGATTTCTTAGTCACACACCATCTGACTTCAGGATCCTGAGATTGTTAAGAGATTGTAGACATACAAATAGTCCAGAGTAGTGGACAACAGCAGAATATTGTTTTTATGCAGGGTGTTAATGTCACAGCATCATTTCAGATATACGTAACTATTCAGTTACACACACATATATACACACACATATACATGTACATATATATAGCATTTTAAAATTCACATTTCCTTACAACTACCTGTGGGCTAGTTAGTACAAGTCTTGTGATCTGCATTGTGCAGATGAAGAAACTGAGATCTGAGGTGGGTTAACTGATTTACCGAAGTTGTACAGGTAAATATCACAACCAAGCTCAGAAACCCAGGACTGGAACTCAGATCTCTCCTGGTTCAGTGCCCTTTATCCTAGACTATGCTGTTTTTTTAATAGAAATACACACATGCAGACAAACACACAAAGAGATTCCTTCTCCCACCACTCCATGCTGCTCATAGCTGAAAAATGCATGCATTTTGCTTGTGATGCAAACTCGGCTAGGTCAGAGACTGAGTCTCTTGGTCAAGGACCGTCGCGGTCTCTTCACCCAGCCCCCTCTCCACAAGGCAGTGAGCAGCTCCCGCCCACCCAGCTGGGTCTTCGGGTGAGACTGGCGGGGGCGCGAAAGGAAGGCCGAGGGCGAGACGATGGCACAGGAGGCAGGTGGGGGCAAAACTCTTCACAAGCCGAAGTTTTCGTTCAGAACCGGCGGAGCCCCCCTGGCTCGAGGCCCACGCTCGGCCCCTACGGGAGCAGCTCTTCTGCCGACAGAACCCAACCACTCCGACCAGAGATCCGCAAGGAGTCAGCAGATCAGGGGTTGGGGAGGGGGCTCTGGGTCTCCAAAAACCTTGTGGTTTGTGTCCATCAGAGTTCAAAGTGTTACCGACCATACACCAAACCCGCCGCAGGCAGAGTCGACAATTATGAGCAGAACAACAGCGCTGCGTGCGCATCCGCGCCCTACCCACGGTAATGACCCGAGCCGATTCGCCCGGAACTACGATTCCCAGAATCCTCCGGGCACACACGTCTCTGAAGTGTGTGTGGGGGGGGGAAACCAGAAACCCTGGACTTGGAATCAGACTTTCTTTTCAGTGTCAGTTCCAGTTGTGGGTGCTGGCTCCTACTCTGAGCGGCAGCCGCCATCATTTTTTCTTTTTTTCCGGCAAAAATGAGTTAGACTAGATGAGGTATGAACCCTTTTGTGACTGTCATGGAACCGTTTTGCAGTCTGCTTAAGTCCCCTGTCAGAATAATGTTTTTGAATGCCTAAAATAAACTACACACTAAATCAATTATACCACAATTCATTTATCCAACCCACCCTTTTTTTAAAGTTCACGGACCCAGATCATCAGATAAACTCCACGCAACTAAGGCTTTACTTTATCACCTCTAGGTTGATTAAGACAGCTCCCCATCGATCTCCCTGCCTCATCATCCCCGCTGCTGACAGAAGGATTTTCCTTTAAGGGTGTATCAGACTGTGTCCCTCCTGTCCTCAATAAACTCTAGCGGTTTCCTCTTGTCTCAAGAACAAAATTCAAACTGCTGCAGTTAGCTGTAAAGCCATTCTCAATCTTGACTCAACCCATTTTGTCTCTCCCTTTAGTTCATTGTGAATAGAGATTTTCACTTATTGTCTTTAAATCTCAGCACCTAGTACAGTGGATTGATTGAAAATGAATGAATGAGAAATCTCGAACAACCCGTTCAAAAGGAAGGTTCTGCAAGCATGAAAGCAGAGCATGCTTTTACAGAACATGAAACTAAGACACAGAGGAGTTAAATGACTTTTTCTAGTGTCTCAACCAGCTAGTGAGGGTGAAAGCTGGTCTCAGACCTGTCTTGTGTCAGTTCAGTGCACTTTTCACTCACTAAATTATATATGTACTCTAAAGTGTACTTTTGGGGGCAGCTGGGTGGCGCAGGGGATAGAGCAACGGCCCTGGAGTCAGGAGGACCTGAAATCCTACCTCAAACACTTGACACTTAATAGTCATGTGACCCTGGGCAAGTCACTTAACACCATTACCTAGCAAAAATAAATAAATAAATAAAGTGTGCTTTCTTTTCAAAAGGAGAAAAAAAGGGTATCTGTAGGGAATATGTATATAGTATTGCTGGTTATTTCCAACAGAGGCACCAACAGAGGCAGCTAGGTTGAACCATAGTTTGCTGAGCCTGGAGTCAGGAAGACCTGAGTTCATATCTGTCCTCAGACACTTAGTTGTGTGACCCTAGGCAAGTCATTTAACCTCTGTGTGCTTCAGTTTCCACATCTGTAAAATAGGAATAATATTTACCTATCTTGCAGTGTTGTGAGAATCAAATGAGATATTTATAAAGCATATAACACAGAGTTTAGCATATTGTAGTCACTATATAAATGCTTATTCCCTTTCCCACTACCTCAAGGAAAAATTAGAAACAATACAAGGGTTTGATTGTTTTAGGAAGAGCTAAACAAACTATAGCATATCAAACCACTGTGAAGCATGGTATGAGGAGCACTGGCTCTTCAGTCAGATGTAAGATACAAGCTCCTTGAGCACCTGCAGTGGTTCATTTTTATCTTTTTACCTAGCACAGGGCAGGACAAGCACTTAATGCTTGTTGACTGATTAATGAAATTACAATGTAATTATCCCCTTACCTACAGATTTAGAACAGCTGGGATGAAGCCTATTAGACAAGATGGAAATCTTTGATTTGTTTTGATAAACTGAGTTTTAAAATGCTGTGGTTTAAAAAGATAATACTTCCTTTTACCCTGGTCTATTCTTCCCTCCTTTCCCAGCCACCAGCAAGCCAGCCAGGGGGATGTATCATTGATGTGTTGTTTTAACTTCCCACTATCACACGACGTTTCCTAATATTATTTTTCCTAAAATAGTTTATTTTAAAATGTAAAAACCATTTTTAGTTCTTTGGTCATGTAAAAAACTGGCAGCAACTGGATCTGGCCATTGCCAACCCCTGGTCTAGACTTAAGAAAATGACAGATAAAGAAAATAAAAACACAGATTAAACTTAAAAGTATGTAATGAGAGCTGCTTGTTAAAACATTTACAAGCATATTCCTGAATGTAGTCCATCTGAGCTGGGTGACTGAAGTTTATCTGGGCAACTAGTTACTCTCTTGCTGTCTCTTTCTTTAACTACCATGGTTATCAACTCCCCATTAGCAATTTTTGTTCTGTCTTTTTCAGTGTAAAGGTACTGCACAAAAATACTTTTTTGGGGGGTAGCTATTCTGAGTACTCTTGGGGCTAATTGCTATGCTAAATGATCTGTTTCTGAGAAAAGATACAGAAATATAACTATGCACAGTTAGATCTCCCATCTTCACCTTTTCATTTCTCCATAAATCTACTTTGCCAGGAGAATGAGGCTAAATTATTTTAGTAGAAAGAGGTACACAATACAGGGAGATAATGTGCAAAAATACAGGTGTAAGGATACAAGACAAAGATGGGGATGATAATAATAGCATCTACCTCCCAGGGTTTTTTTGAGGGTAAAATGATATAATATTTGTAGTATTTTGCAAACCTTAAAGGGTTATAGAAATGCTAGCTATGAGGAGCAGCTAGGTGGCACAGTGGATTGAGCTCTGGCCTTGGAGTCAGGAGGATGTGAATTCAAATCCAGTCTCAGACACATGACACTTACTAGCTGTGTGATCCTGGGTAAGTCACTTAACCCCAACTGCCTCCCCAAAAAGCAAAAAAAAGAAGAAGAAGAAACGCTAGCTATCATTATCATTATCTTGGGCCAAGAATGTTGTGGACTGTATTTGGTCTACCAGGCTGCCTGTTTGACACCTCTCCTTTAAGTACCTTCCTTCTGTACACACTATAATCCATGTACCCTGGCCTATCTGCTATTTCTCACACAAGACGCTTCACTTCCCTATGGTGCATTTGCACAGGCCTATAATGTTTTCCCTCTTCATCTCTGATGCCTACCTTCCCTTGCTTCCTTTAAGACTTTTCACTCAATTCTCAATCTCCATAATAGGCCTTTCCAGGTTCCCCTCTCTCCTAGCCTCTTTCTTCTTAAATTACCTTCCATTTATACCTTATATATCTCATATGTACATAGTCACTGACTTGTGTTCCTCATTAGAAAGTGAGCTTCCTGAGGTCAGGCACCATGTTTTTGTCTTTATTCCCAGTGCTTAACACAGTGACTGGCACATAGTAAGTGCTTAATAAATGCTTGTTGAGGGGGCAGAGCCAAGATGGCAGAGTAAAAGCAGTGATTTGCTTGAGCTCTCCCCCTAATCCCTCCAAATACCTATAGAAATGGCTCTAAACAAATTCTAAAGCAGCAGAACCCACAAAAAGACACGGTGAAACAAATTTCCAGCCCAAGACAACCTGGATGGTTGATCAGAAAGGTATATCACACCGGGTGGGGAAAGTAGCAGAGTTCAGCATGGGCCTGTAGGCTGCAGCAAAACTGAAGCAGCCCTCAGAGGACTGAATTGTGGGTAGCTGTGGTGGTTTCCAGACTTCTCAACCCACAAACACCAAAGACAACCTAGAAGGTCAATGGGAAAGTCTGTTTCTGTGGTGGTGAGAGAGGAGCATGGGGTCTCAGCTCCACTTCCCAAGCATAGCCGTCTCCTGAGCTCCTGGCCCACAGACAGAGTGGCAGAACAGAGGGGGATTGCAGGGAATCTCTCTGCTGGTGGAGGATTCTCTTGCTTTGCCCATGCTTGGATCTGGGTCACAGTTCTGAGTGGCAGTCCTGGGGTGAGGAGGAACGTGGCGTGGTGGAGCTTGTAGTGGCTATGGAGAGAAAACCCTCACAATTCCAAGACAGAAAAGACTTCTTTTGGTCACTCGTAGACCAGAGAACAGGCCAGGAAAGGAATAAACACCTTGCCCTTGATCATAGCACCTTAGAAGAACTGAAAATTTATAGGTCCCTAGAAGTATCTCTAAAAACAGCTGCACAAAACCCCTGAAGCTTGCTGTACATTCTCCACACTGAAAACAGATTCCTACCTTAACAAAGGGTTTATAACTCAAGTAATTGGCCTGGATCATGAGTAAACAGCGCAAAATGAGTCAGACTATATTATCTTACTTTGGTGACAAAGAAGATCAAAATGTACAACTAGAAGAAGACAATGAAGCCAAAGCTCCTACATCCAAAGCCTCCAAGAAAAACATGAATTGGTCCCAGAACATGGAAGAGCTCAAAAAGAATTTTGAAAAGCAAGTAAGAGAAGTAGAGGAAAAACTGAGAGTGATACTAAAGGAGACCCAAAAAAATACTGAAGAAAATAACACCTTAAAAAAGCCTAACCCAAATGGCAAAAGAGGTCCAAAAAGCTAATGAGGAGAAGAATGCCCTAAAAAGAAAAACTGGCCAAATGGAAAAGGAAGTCCAAAAGCTTACTGAAGAAAATACTTCCTTAAAAATCAGAATGGAGAAATTGGAAGCTAGTGACAATTTGAGAAATAAAGGCACTGTAACACTAATCCAAAAGAATGAAAAAATAGAAGAGAATGTGAAATATCTCATTGGAAAAACAACTGACCTGGAAAATAGATCCAGGAGAGAGAACTTAAAAATTATTGGACTATCTGAAAGCCATGATCAAAAAAAGAGCCTAGACATCATCTTTCAAGAAATTATCAAGGAAAACTGCCCTGATATTTTAGAACCAGAGGGCAAAATAGAAATTGAAAGAATCCACCATCACCTCCTGAAAGAGATCCCCAAAGGAAAACTCCTAGGAATATTGTAGCCAAATTCCAGAGTTCCCAGGTCAAGGAGAAAATATTACAAGCAGCCAGAAAGAACAATTCAAGTACTGTGGAAACACAATCAGGATAACACAAGATGTAGCAGCTTCTACAAGGGACCGCAGGGCGTGAAACATAATATTCCAGAGGGCAAAGGAGATAGGACTACAACCAAGAATCACCTACCCAGCA